GGGGGGGGGGGGGGGCGCCGGGTGGCGCGGGCTGCCCCCCAGGGCTGCCTGTGCCAGGAGCCGCCGGGAGTTCCCTTCCTGCTGTGCCCAAGGGCCGCACTGACCACCGGGGCCTCGTCCCTGAGCGCCACGTTGTTGACCGTTCGTGCCCACGGGGTGGCACTCCCTACGGGACAGTGCTGACCAAGGACCATCCTTGGTGCCGCTGTGGCTTGGACACCAAAGGGGGCCGTGACGTGCCGGTGCCGGCCAGCCTCCCACAGGAGGAAGGGCAACGGCAGCTGCGTGGCCTCCCGGGGCAGCGAGGCCGATGGCCGGGTGCGACCCCTGGCCGGCAGCGTCCCTTCAGGGAGGCTCGGGCGCACAGCGGCCCCAAGACTTCAGTGCCCCCTGCCCGGGGCACAGCCCACGCATGACACCTGGGCAGCTGCCTCGCCCACCCAGTGTGCCCCTCGGAGCGTAAGGGGTCGTGGCGATCGCTGGTCCCTGGCTCCGTGACTGGGTTTGCCCTTCCAAGTTCCAGAGTCACGATTCGACCGAGACTCCGGAGAAAGCGAAGAAGGAGAGGAGGAAGCGGGCGAGGGCACCCCGCAGAGCAGTGCCCTGACCGAGGGTGACTGTGTGCCCGACTCCCCGGCCTTGTCGCCTATCGAGCTCAAACAGGAGCTGCCCAAGTACCTGCCCGCCCTGCAGGTCAGGCGCCTCCCCGCCCGGGACTGGCTCTGCTTCAGAGCCCGTGCGGCTTCCAGGCAGCGGTGCCACCTGAGGGCCTGGGCCTGTGCGGTGAATGTTGCAGCTGGATCTGCGGCCACTGTCCAGCCTTGCCCAGCAGTGCTGGTGGGAGGGTGGCTCCTGAGACCCCCGGCCGGACGCATGGATCGGGGTGGGCAGCCGGGTGGGTGGCTGGCTCTGTGGTCACTTCTGCAGGTGGCCTGAGCTGACTGGGCAGCTGTCCTCCCTAGCTCTGTCCCTGTACAGAGGTCATAGGGCAGTGGAGGGCATCCCACATTCTCTGTTCTGGGAAAGAGGTCTGAAGGCTGCCGTGGGGAGGGACAGCTCCCGGAGGGGTGGGCGCCTTGAGCACCCTGCAGACCACGGGTCCTGCTCCGCATCCTGGGGCAACAGGATGCCGTCTGGCAGTGGTGCACGTCTCAGCCGGCCACCCCAGGCTTCATGAGCATCTCTGCCTGTGGAGCTGGGAAGCCCAGCTCCGTGCCACTCGGAGAGGACCGCAGGCAGCCCTGCTCCTGAGGGTGTTCCCCACGGCCCTCCTGAGCCCCGGTGGGGCCCACCACAGCTGCCGGGGCTCAGGCTGGTGCTCCCCCAGGGATGCCGGAGCGTGGAGGAGTTCCAGTGCCTCAACAGGATTGAGGAAGGCACCTACGGGGTGGTGTACAGAGCGAAGGACAAGAAGACAGGTTCGTGTCCCCCAAAGCGAGGAGATGAGGTGTGGGGCCTGGGCTGGGTGGCCCACAGAGCCTGGCCTGGCCTTGAGCAGGCAGGAACTCCTCCGGAGGCACCTCGGCCCTGCCCTGTGCTACCCTGGGTCTGGCTGGGGCTGTCCTGGCCCCTTGCACCTTCATTGTCAAAGGTCATTAAACACAGTCCCTCACGGTGCTCAGAGTGGCCCCTCCCCTCCGGCCCCTGCTTACCTGGCTGGCACCAGGTGGTGACTCATGCAGGACACACTCCTGAGTGGTTGGCCCCTCGGTGCCTCTGGAGGTCATGGGTCAGCCTGATCATGAGGCCCTGCAGGAGCTACTGGGCGTCAGCCTTTGCGTGATGGCATCTGAGCAGGTGTGTGAGCCATGCAGCTGCAGCTCCCGTGCCCAGACCTGGGTTCTTGGAAAGTTGGAGTGGCCCTTTGAGACCCCAAGAACCTGGTGGAACCTGGTGAACGCTTCTGTGTTGGGACACATGGGGCTTTGCTGTGTCACCTCGGGGTCGCGGGAGGAGGAGAGAGGAAGGGGGAAGTCCTCCACAGCCTTTGTGACAAAAGCTGGCTGGGAATGGTGCCTCCTGTTCCCATCAGCCCGCAAGTTTGGCTTCTTGGCACTGACGGTGTAGGCGCTCCTGGTTAGAGTGACACCTTACTGTGAGATGAGGTGCGCTGAGTAAGTGCCAGCCAGGCATCCGTGGAAGGACGTTTCCTGAGCACCATCTTTAAACGTCCTTTTCAGACGAGATTGTGGCTCTGAAGCGGCTGAAAATGGAGAAGGAGAAGGAGGGCTTCCCAATTACGTCGCTAAGGGAGATCAACACCATCCTGAAGGCCCAGCACCCCAACATAGTCACCGTCAGAGTAAGGCACCCATTCCGCGGTGCATGCGCCCGAGGTCACAGGCTTTCTCGCACGATGCAGAAATGGCCACTAGCCTCCAAAATGTCAGAGTCTTCATAGTTGTCCCACTTAGTGAGCCCCTGCTGTCTTCCAGGGTCCTGGGAGAGCCAGGGGCTGGAGGGGGGCTGCACCAAGGGACCTGCATTGTTCCCTAGGAAATAGTTGTGGGCAGCAACATGGACAAGATCTACATTGTGATGAACTATGTGGAGCACGACCTCAAGAGCCTGATGGAGACCATGAAGCAGCCTTTCCTGCCAGGTGGGCCACGGTCCCGGGGCAGCTGCCCCGACATGGGCAGTGTCCTGGGGCAGGAAGAGCACTGACCTTGGCACCGTGTGTGCGTGAGGGGTGGCATGCACATGCAGACTGCACTGTGTGGCATGGGGCGCCAGGCGCCAGCCCTGTGCAGCTGGCACAGTGACTCCCACCATCCAGGGGAGGTGAAGACGCTGATGGTCCAGCTGCTGCGTGGCGTGAAGCACCTGCACGACAACTGGATCCTGCACCGTGACCTCAAGACATCCAACCTGCTGCTGAGCCATGCTGGCATCCTCAAGGTGGGCCCCGGGGCTGCAGGGGCCTGCCCCGTGCCAAGCCCCAGCCCCAGCCCCAGCCCACCCTCTGTCCTTGCAGGTGGGGGACTTTGGGCTGGCACGGGAGTACGGGTCCCCCTTGAAGGCCTACACCCCAGTGGTCGTGACCCTGTGGTACCGTGCCCCCGAGCTGCTGCTGGGCGCCAAGGTGAGTGCTGGGGTGCAGGCCCTGCCCTGCACGTGTGCCCCGCCAGCCCCCTGAGTGTGTCCTGACCCCCTAGGAGTACTCCACGGCCGTGGACATGTGGTCAGTGGGCTGCATTTTTGGGGAGCTGTTGACTCAGAAGCCACTGTTTCCTGGGAAGTCGGAAATCGATCAGATCAACAAAGTATTTAAGGTGGGTCACCGGCAGGGTGCCCTGGTGGGTATGTGTGGGCACCAGGGCCCGGGTGGAGGCGTGATGTGGTGGTCAGCCAGACCCTTCCCTGCAGGGCATAGCCATTTTGAGACGTCCCTCTTGTAGGACCTGGGGACCCCCAGTGAGAAAATCTGGCCTGGCTACAATGACCTGCCTGCAGTCAAGAAGATGACTTTCACGGAATACCCCTATAACAACCTCCGCAAGCGCTTTGGGGCCCTGCTCTCGGACCAGGGCTTTGATCTCATGAACAAGTGTGTGCCTCGTGGGGTGGGCCACCCAGCCCCCACCCTCATGGACAGGTGGGCACCAACTGCCCTTGTTCTCCAGGTTCCTAACCTACTTCCCTGGGCGGAGGGTCAGCGCAGAGGACGGCCTCAAGCACGAATATTTCCGCGAGACCCCCCTCCCGATCGACCCCTCCATGTTCCCCACGTGGCCCGCCAAGAGCGAGCAGCAAAGGGTGAAGCGCGGCACCAGCCCTCGGCCCCCTGAGGGAGGCCTGGGCTACAGCCAGCTGGTGAGGGGCAAGGACGGCACGGGAGAAGGCACGGGCACTCCCCGGCGGGGGGGGGGGCAGCCCAGCCAGGGCCCCATGGTGCCCCTTGTTTCCAGGGTGACGATGACTTGAAGGACACAGGCTTCCACCTCACCACCACAAACCAGGGGGCCTCAGCTGCAGGCCCTGGCTTCAGCCTCAAATTCTGAGGTTCAGGGTGGACCCCAGCCCGACCCTTGGGAGCTCCGACAGACAAGGCTTAGCCGGGACCGGGGGCAGTTACTGGAAGAGGTGTCTCGGTCCAGACCCAGGACTCCCTGACGGGATGCAGCCACTGTGGGTCATGACCTCAAGTCTCGGACTGTTGATTTTTCCACATTTCGTTTTTATTTTTAATTGTAAATTTGTAGAATTAAATCACATTTTCCTTGTGGAAGATGTGGCTCTTAATTCTTCAGATGCGTCAGACTTGCCCCTTGAGAAGAGGTCTGCAGTGGCCGGTGCACGGCATGCACACACACTGAGCCACAGCGGCCACAGGGGGCCGTGCCACTGGGGTGCTGTCTGTGGTCTGGAATGGAGCTGCTGAGGGGCTTTTCTACTTTGTGGTCTTCAGGCTCCTGCTCCAGCACCTCCCACAGCCCCAGGTGCCCCAGAGCCAGGTGCCAGCTCTGCGTCACACACGGGTTTTCTACCAGGCTGTTCCATGTTCTGAGATGTAGTGAAATATCCTCGGAGGGAAGCCCTGGTGTGACCGTTGACAGTGGCCCCAGCACCCAGGTGGTGCTGCCTGGAGGGGCCTTGGCCTGACCTCACGAGAGCTGGGCTTTCTGGCCTGCCAGGCCTCCAGCTCCTGGTCTAGCTGGACAGGGAGTTGTTCATGCAGAAAGGGGTACTTGCCTCTGCCCAGGGGGTCTCCCCTGTGGGCTCCTCCAGCCCCATCCCACCGTGCAAACTGAAGACAGACCCAGGGACCCCGGACTCTGGCTCTGCCTGCTGCCCAAGTGACACTCCTGGCAGTTGGGCCTCCAGTTACCCTGCTTCTCCAGGAACACCTGGAAAAGCCCATCTTGGCTGGTTGGACGGCATCCCCATCCCAAAGAAGTGTGTGGGGAAGTCTCGGCCCCAGGCTCCATGTGGGCTGGGTGGCCCCACCCCATTGGCCCAAGACCGGCCACCCACCCTCCCAAGAAAGCGCAGAGACTTGAGAGAGAAAGTGCTTTATCGGTGGCCTCACCCAGCGGGTAGGCGCTTAGCTCCGCAGGCGGACCCGCCAGGAGTAGGTACTGAGCACATGCTGCCGCCGGCGCACCACGCATGTGTACGTGCCCTCGTTGATGGCGTTGGCGATGATGCTCAGGTGCGCCTCACCCAGCGCCAGGTAGCCAGGGTAGGAGAACTCCAGGGGCTCCTGGTCCTTGTACCAGCTGCGGGGAGGCGGGAGGGCTAAGCAGAGCCTAGGCCGCCACCGCCCCCACCAGGTGTCACGGGACAGGTCACTCACTGCACTTTGCCTTTCTTGTGCAGGATCTTCCGGCCACAGCGGAAGGTCACATTTCTGCCCTCGGGCACCAGCCTGGTTTTGGTCCTGGGGGGCGGTGCTGTGGCAGCCACCGTGGGGAAAGGGAATTCTGCACAGGTCACGGGCAGGGGGCGCATCAGCATCTCGGCCCACCCCACCCAGACCAGCAAGACTGGGACCGGCCTCACCGTAGCAGAAGTCACAGCTGCTAGGACAGAGCCTCTTCATGAGCCTCCGTCGGGTGTCGCAGAAGCCCCTGCGGGCCCAGGACGCGCACACAAACAGCCGGTCCAGGCAACCTGCGGGAGGGCAGCCTGGCCTCAGGGCTGCCGCCCCCCAGGCCCACCTCCCCCAGCCCACAGGGCACTCACCGTACAGCCGGTGCAGCCCCCACAGCTCATCCTGCGACAGTGCCTTCCAGCCGCGCAGCGTGGCGTTGAGGTGCATGAGCGCCTGCCCGTGCTGTGTGTGCATCAGGCCCAGTGCGTGGCCAATCTCATGGGCCGCCACGTGCACCAGGTCAGTGAGCCACACGCCTGCAGACCCCTCCAGGTCAGCGCCTCGAGCCCCGGCCGGCCCTCCTCCCTCCACCCGCTGGCCCTGCACATGGCTCAGTGCAGCCTCAGGCCTCCCTCAGCAAGGCCATGGGCAGATAAGAATGTTCCAGGCCGCTGAGGCGGTGAGCTCGGCCCCCAGGAATGCAGGTCCAGCTCTGTCTCTGGCAGCAAGGGGGCGGGGGCAGGGGGCGGGGGCAGGGGGGAGCCCCGGGGGGAGGGGCGGGGAGCTTCAGGGCTCCTGGAACCCAGGCCTGTGGCCGCCTCACCACCTCTCCCTCCTTGCCTGCCGGGCCCTGAGCCCTCCTACCGGGTCCCTCGGGAGGCCCGGCGAGGTGTCACCTTTCTTCCAGCTGTAGCGTGTGGGACCCAGGACCCAGAACTCGCTGTCGTCGAAGTGGATGCCGCCATGCGGGGGGAAGAAGGCATGGGCTAGCTCGCCCGTGGGGCCATCGAAGCAGTGGTGAAGTGGAGAGACCAGGCAGTCGGTGTGGTTGACTGGGTAGAAGCCTGGGGGAACACAGGGCTGAGAGAGGGCCATGGGACAAGGCAGGGGAGGGGGCACAGTGCCCACCTATGCGGAGGTCGCTGGGCTGCTCTGGGGCCACCTCGCGGAAGCTGAAGGGGGACACCTCACTCCACATGCGGAAGGCGGCAGCCAGGCCCCTCCGGGTCTCACTAGGGCTCAGCAGGTTCCGAGGGAAGGAGAGGATCCTGGGGCAGGAGTCGATGTCAGGGACGGCGGCCAGCCTGTGGCTACCCTCCCTGCCCAGGGTCAGGGGTGCACCTGTACGTGAGGTTGAAGTGGTCCCAGCGCAGCCTGGCTGGAGTCAGCGTGTAGCGGCGTCTGCGGGGCGCACTGGGGGGCATCAGGCTGGGGCCCAGGGTGGGGAGGACACCCGCGGGGTGGGGCACAGCAATGTCTCCCTTCAAGGGAAGCAAATGCTTGTGGGGAGGCAGTAGGAACTGTCCCCAGATCCAAAAGTGCCGGGGAAAGGGGCTGTAAAGAAATGGGGCGGGGTGCCCAGTGGGGGTGCCTTCAGAGGTCCCTCTGGGTCTCTGCGTTTTCTGGTTTCCTACCCCAAGCAAGTCTTGTATTTACAGCCAGGAAGAAAAAAGTTCACTCAGGCCACTTCGGAGCGGGCAGGCTGGAGGCCAGAAGCGTCACCCCCGCCCCCACTACCGCGGACACACGGCCGCTGGGCCCGCTCTCACCTGCGCTGCGCCCGCGGCGGGCCGGGCTGCCGGGGCCCCCGGCCGGGCTAGCAGCACGAGCGCGGGCAGGAGGCACAGCGCAACCAGCACGGCGCCCAGCCGGCCGGCCTGGGCGCGGGCCCCCGACGCCGCCGAGGACTCGCAGGCCCCGCGGCCCATGGCGCCTGCGGACTCGCTGTCGGGGCTCCGGGCCGCGAGGGGCGGGCGGGTAGGCGCTGCCGGCGGCTCGGGTTACAGCCGGGGGCGGGGTGGGGGCCGAGGGGTGGCGGAGAGGCCGGGAGGCGCAGCGACCCTGAAGGGAACCAGCTGGCCGTCCCGCTGTCGGGAGTACCCCACCGCCGCCGGCCTGGGGAGTGCGGACCCAGGGCCTCCGGGTCGTTGGCAGCGGCCTGGGCAGGGCCTGCTGGGCGGGGTCAGCTGGGGAGGGGAGGCGAGGAGGGCCCCTTCCGCGAGGGAAGAGACAGACGCCAGGGGCTCAGGCTTGGGGCAGGGTGGCCAGCTGGGGTCCCTAAGCCGGCGGGGGTCTGCGAGTGACTCGGCGGCTCGTTCCCCAGTGGCACCCTCCCAACCCTTGGACACCGAATGAGACCTGGACGTGGAGCCTCCATTCGGGCCAGCTCGGGACACGTCCCGCTGGCGCCGGCCTGACGGGATCCCCGCGAGAGCGGAGGGGACACGCGGGTGAGTCCCGGGAGGGGAAGGGGCAGGGGTGCCGGAAGGGAGGGGACCCCGCTGGCGTGGGGGGAAGCGCGCGAGGGGAGGAGCCAGGTGTTTCGGGGTAGGGCCCGAGGGCCGGATGGACCTGTCGCGTGGGAGCGGTGTCCTGAGGCCGGAAGACTCGACGGCACGGGCTTCAGGCTGCGCTGGGGCAGGAGCGGAGCCAGGCTGGGTGCTCGCAAGGGCGCCCTGGGGCTGGGGGACCGGGACGCAGGACCGAGAGGCCCGCTAGAGCGGAGCGACAGGGCGAGGGAGGGGAGAGGGGGTGGGCCCTGCTGGGCGGGAGGCACCCCGCCCAGCGAGGCCCCGGGTCCCGAGCCTCGCCACGCTCCATCCAGGCCTTGAGCCCGGAGTGACAGCGGCGCGCCCGGCCGGCGGGGACGGCGCCAAGTGGATGGCGGGAAGCCGTGAGACTCCGGGGTAGCGTTTCGGGTGGTTCTTGGAAAGCGCCGGGCCGGCGGGGCCGCTGAGCCGGCCGTGGGCAGCGCTCCACTTCTCCTGGCTAAGTACTTGCCCCAGCAAAGGCCGCTCCCGCCCTAGGCCCGTGTGCCCGCCTCCCACACTCGGCAGTCCCGAGACTCCCCGCTTGGCCGGAGTGCACCCGCCAGAACCGGGTCCTGCCTCGGTGGAAGCCTGTCTCCGCGGCCCGCCCCGCAAGAAAAGAAGGGCGGGCGCCGGGGCAGAATGTTGTGGGTCGCGGGAAGGCCCCGGCCTGGGCGGGCACTGCGGTTCCGTCCCACCCAGTGCTTCAGGCGCGCCCACGACCCCAGGCCCAGAGGACGGCCTGGCCCAGCGGCCAGGGTCCGGGCAGGAGTGCGGCGTGAGCCCGGGGGCCGGGCGACACATTTGTCGGAGCGCAGAGCGGAGCTGGCAGGCCCGACAGCCCGCGGCGGGCGGGGCGGCACCCGGGCGGGGACGGCGCCCAGGCTCGTGTGCCCGCCCCCCCACCCCGCGCCCCAGGCAGGCACCAGGCATGAAGTCCGAGAATCCTTTTATAAAACTCAGGGTGGGCGCCCGCGACTGCGAGGGCGGGACGAGGCCGGGGCGCGGCAGGCGGCGGGGCGGGGGCTACACGAAGATCTGGATGCGGTCGCGGATGGGCTGGCGGCAGATGGGGCAGGCGCTGAGCGCGGCGCCGCAGGGCGCGCACGCGCCGTGGCCGCACTGGAACACGAGGCGGATGTGGCTGTCAATGCAGATGGGGCAGGTGATGCGCTCCTCCATCTGCCGGTAGCGGCTCTGCAGCTCCTCCACCAGCTGCCGCGGCGGGCCTGCCGCGGGGGTCGCGGGGACCACCTCTGTGCCGTCTGCAGGCGGGGTCGCGGTCAGGGGCGGGACCGGGGGAGCCCCGCCCCCGCCCCGCCCCGCCACCCACCTGGGCGCAGCTTCTTGCAAATGACCACCTGGCACCTGATGCACTTCTTCATCCTGCGCGCGCACTCTGCGGGGCAAGGCAGGGCGGGGCGGGCGGCGGCAGTTGGGCGGGCCCGCGCCCGCGCCCGCGCCCTGAGCCCCCCGAGCCCCCCGACTCACCCTCGCACACCGTGCGGTGCTGGCACGGCGCGAACAGCACCAGCAGCGCCAGCTCGGAGCACACTAGGCACTCTGCGGCCTCGGGCCCTGGCGGCGCGGCCACGTGCAGGTTCGTCACGGTGTTGGGGGTGCTGAGTCCCGGCCTCGGGCCCGGGGCCGTGGCCCCGCCGCCGCCCGCCTGCCGCTCCCTGCGGTCGGAGAGGGGCTTGAAAGGGCCCAGGGAGCGTCCCCCGCCCCCCGCCCCGCCGGGCTCACCGAAAGCGCTGGGCGCAGCCCTTCAGGGCCTTGAGCACGCGGCCCTCAGCGGCCAGGTCCAGCGGGCTCCGGCCGCGGTGGTTGGCGTAGCTCACGTCCGCGCCCTCCAGCGCCAGGAAGCAGGCGACCGCCGCGCCCACCGTCATCTCCGCGCCGACTGGGAGGCCCGAAGCCTGTAGCTGGCGGCAGACAGACGTCGGTGAGGAGCGCCAGCCCGGCCCCTGGCCTCAGGGGCGTCCCTTCTGGCAGCCGGCCTCGGGCGTGGGCACCCCCTCCCTGTGTGAGGCCGCTGGACGCAGAGGCACGCCTGAAAAAGCACCCCTGCCAGGCTGAGACTCTAGCCCCCCCGGGCCCCGCCCCGCCTCCCAGGCCGGCCCCAGTGCAGGATCTCAGAGGTGCTGGCCCCGCTGCTGCAGAAGACGCCTCCTACAAACCACAGGTGCCCCACAACCGCCCTAGGCCTGGGTGCCTGTGCCGTCGGGGAAAGTGGACGTGGATAGTTGCTCTGGCCCTGCCAGGAGCCTGCAGCTAGGTACCACGGCCCACCTCTCCAGCATCCAGATCTACACTTCCTCACCCTGGACAGCAGCTGCAAGGACCCTGGGGTCCCCCCAGCCTGGTCGGCTGCCAGGGGGAGCAGCTGATGACGCTGCAGTGCCACATGCAGGGCCGTGTCCCCCTCCTCGTCCTCAGCGTTGACACTGCAGCCAGCGTCCACCAGCAGGGGCACTAGCCCCACGTGGGCCTGCTGAACAGCCAGGTGCAGTGGTGACTGGAGCTTCCGGTTGCGCACATTCACATCACAGCGGCCCTAGGGAGGGGGGCCAGCACAGGCTCAGCCCGGGACCCCAGGTGGGCCCTGACTCCCAGCTGGCCCGAGACCCTGTGTCCCCACCTCTCGGATGAGAACCTGGGTCACATCCCCGTGGTTGTTGAGAGCGGCCAAGTGCAATGCTGTGAAGCCGTCCTCCTTCTTGGCGTCCACCAGCTGCCGTGCCCGTGCCAGAATCCTCCTGACAGCTCTGCAGGAGCAACATGCCGTGTCTGGGGCCCAGGTGTCCCCAGAGTGGCCCAGTGCAGGCCAGGAGCCTGGCTGCTGGCTGTGGGCCCACCCCAGACTCACAGCGTGTGGCCCTTGAGGGATGCATGGTGCAGCAGGGTAAAGCCCTGGCTGTTGGTAGCAGTGACATCAATGCCTGGCACCTCGGTGAGGACCTCCACAATGCCACTGGCACCGGTGCCCGCTGAGATGGCACAGTGAAGGGGTGTGTCGGCATGGGCATCCTGTGGGGATGGGCCGGTGGGTCACTCTGGGGAGCTAACTGCCACCATCTCCCTGGTCCCAGGGATAGGGCTACAGAACCCAGCACTCACGGGCAGGTTGACGTCACAGCCATGCTCACACAGGACCCTCACCACCTCCAGGAAGCCCCTCTGCACAGCCACATGCAGAGCTGCATTCCGGGTGCTGTTAAGGGCGTTGGCCCCACACCCTGAGCTCAGGAGCACCCGGGCAGCCTCAGGCTGGTTCCTGATGGGAGAGAAGTGGGAGTGGTACGATGCCCACCGGCTGGGCCTATCGGCCCACCCCCCCTCCCCCGCACCTCACCCCAAGGCGGCATAGTGCAGTGCGGTGTTGCCCTCCTCGTCTGGCAGGTCTGCACCCGCCCGTGCCCGCAGCAGCAGCTGCACCAGCTCCACCTGGCCCAGGTAGGCAGCCACCTGCAGGGCAGTCCTGCCCTGGTTCTTGGTGTCCACCTGCCGGAGAGCCAGAATGTCAATCCCTGGCGCTCAGCCCCTCCCAGGGGCTGGCTGGCTGTGGGGAAGACGGTGGGGAAGACGGTGGGGAAGACGATGGGGTCTCGGGGTCTCGGGGGCTCGCCTGCTCTGGGTGCCTCCGCAGCAGGTCTAAGGCCCGGGCCACACTGCCCAGGGCCACTTCCACCACCAATCTCCCTGTGCACTCTGGGGCACTCTTCTGGGCTCGCAGCTTGTCCAGGGCGACACTCAGGGAGCCTGGGGGTGGGCAGGGCTGAGGTTGAGTGGAGGCTGGAGGCAGCCCCACCTCCCACTAGCCACCCCACTGGCTGCCCCCACTTTTGTTCTCCCTGGCGCGCTCGGCCACGTCCAGGTTGGCGTCCTCCTCAGGCCGGTAGGCCACCAGGCAGGAGGGGCTGAAGGTCCACAGCTGACCACCGACTGCCACACGCAGATTACCATCTCTGAAAACCTTCACCACTTTCCCAATGCGTCCGAGGGCCTATGTGGGGAGAGGGTGGGGTCACAGTCACGTCTTCTGGGGACGTGTGGGAGGCAGGGGAGGAGGGACTCACAGGGGCCATGTCATCTGTCCACTCGCCATGCCCGGCCTGCAGCTGCTTCACAGTGTCAAGGTCACCAATGACCCGCACCACATCGCCCACCCAGAAGGAGTTGTGCTAAGTGAGAGAGAGGCACGTGAGGGGACCGTCCCGGGTCATGGAGCAGGAGCGTGCCCCACCAGATTCTGCAGGACAGGCAGGCCTGGCCTTGAACCCAGCTCCTGCCTGGACAAGGGCCATGAGTGACCAGGGCATCCCCTGGTCAGTCGTAGTGGAAATACTCGAAATCCTGCTTCCCAAAGAGCTGCCACTGTGCCCGCCCTGCCCCTCTGCCCTGTCCTGATGGCCTTCCTGCACCCACACGTGCCCCATGCGCACCCACAGGGGACCAAGCCCAAGTAGGTCACCTCCCGCCTTGAGCACTTCAGAGCTGTCCTTTGGCTCTCAGGACAAACACTGCCTGCCCTCCCACCACAGCCTCCAGTGGTGCCTGGTGTCCCTTCATGTCTCCAAGAAATGAGTCCCCTCGGCCCCACTGGGTCCTCCCTCTTCCTCCAGGGCTAGAGGAAGGCATGTGGAGGAGGGACGCAGAAGCAAGCGGATGGCTCAGGCTGGCCCTGTGCCCCTTGGAGAGCCCCAGGGGGACGGGCCCGCGAAGCAGTGCACGGGGCCTGTCTGGCTGAGAAACTGCGGTGGGCCCTGGAGGCTGGGGGTCCAGAGGATGGGGGGGCACAGGCTCAGCAAGCGGGGCGCCTCACCTCTACCGTCCTGGGGTTCCCCCCGCCATGCCCTTCCTCCGTCTCCCTCAGGATGGCCGTGTCCAGCAGACACTTCACTTTGTCCCCGCGCGGGAGGGGCTGGCCATCAGCACTCACCCTGCGCTGCAGCTCTGCCGGCCTGCCTGGGGGCAAGTGGCAGCTGCTCAGGGGCGCTCCTCCCCTCCCTTCGGGCACAGCCTGCTTGAGGCTCCGCCGGGGCAGGCGGCAGCTGGCAGGGGCGTCAGTGGGGACGGCCGTACCGAGTCTGGGAAGGTGCTCCTTGTAGTAGAAGCCTCCGGCCGCCTCGCCCACACATTTGAGGTCCACCTTGCCCTTGTGGCCCACGCGGTACACGTTGGTGGTGCCATCGGCCCACGTCACACTGGCCACGCTCCGGCCCGTCTCTACATCCCAGCCACGGATATCCACCACGCGGCCTGGCTTCCCTTCCCCTCCTGGGGAGACAGCATCCCCACCGGCAGGCTGGCCCCGTGCTGAGGCCTTGCCACAGCCCTGCAGCAGCCCCGCCCCCACCTTCCCACGCTGGCCCCCACTCACCATCCTGCGAGCCCCACTCCCAGTCAGGGCCCCGCACCACCTGCGCTCCCTGGAAGATGCCCCTCAGTGGGATCCTCGGGAGGCCCTGGCGGGGACTGAGCGTGACCCTGTAAGAGAGCAAGTGGGTCCCAGGCCCTCCGCTCTGCCCAGACCTGCTCCTCCACCCCTGGCTCCACTCCCACCTGCTGGGCTGGTGGGGACAGGACCCCAGGTACCATGCCCGGCAGGTCAGTGCCCCCCACGCGCTGGGTCTGGAGTGGGCATGCTGACAGTGCCCCTTCAGGGTCTTCCCTGATGCTAGGCTGAAGGGCACCCCAGGCAATCGCCTACAACTGTCGCCTCCCAGGGAGCCGGGCGCCGTCTACTAGGCTGGACCCAGAAGGACTCAGCACATGGAAATGGCACCAGCCAGCCTGCTCCCACACCGGATGTGGGCAGCTGGAACATAGGCCACACACACCCCTCCTTGTGCGTGGGGGGCCCCAAGGAGACAAGGGTGACAGCCCAGGGGGTGTGGGGGGGTGCAGGTCCGGTGGACTCCCCCCCAGCCTGATGCCCCCAGGCTCCAGCAAAGGAGCCTCCCAGCTAGGCCAGTGGCACCTCCCCTGCTGTGCCAAGGGACTGGCTCCTGGCTCAGGCTGCCCTCTGCCAGGCCAAGGCCTCCACAGGGGACACGTGTCGCTCAGCCACCTGCAGACCACCCTTGGCGCCCCCACCACAGCTCCACTGGGGAGCCAGTCCTTGCTCTAAGGGTGGTGCCAGGACAGAGGAGAACCCCCATCCACAGGACCGACCTCCACAGACCCGCTGGGTGGACACACTGCCTTCTGCAGCAGCTGAGGGCTGGTGTCACCGCCCAGGCCCCTGGGGTGACCGTGACCATGGCCACTCTTTGAGGAGGTGGCTCACGGTGGGTCCCGCTGAACGGGGTGTGGTGAGCGGAAGCAGGTCCAGGCCTCGGAGGCCCCAGGGTCTCAGGCAGGGCCCAGAGCAGCCTGCACGTGGCCATGGGAGCGACACTCACGGGCGCGAGTGGGCAGTCTCGTAGCGCTCGAAGGCATGGGCGAGGTCATGCTTGTTGTGCATGTAGCACTGTGTGCAGAGGTCATAGTCGAAGCAGACGCGGCACTTCCAGCGCAGGCCCCGCAGCCCGTGCTTCTTGCAGCAGTCACAGATGATGTTAGCATGGCGCACACCTGGGGGCGGGGCATGTCAGGGCAGGGCCCCCCATGCCTGCCCGCCCCCCGGACCCGCACGCACCGATCTGCGCGTTGTCATAGAGCAGTAGGTCGTGTGCGCCCTGGTAGCCTGCGCGGTAGTTGGTGCGGGTGCCGTGGTCCCACTGCACAACCACCGTGCGGTCGGGGGTTGAGGGGCTGCCGTGACGGCCGAGCTCCACCACCGTGCCCACGCCTCCCTCGCCGCCGTCCTGCTGGCCCCACTTCCAGTTCACGCCGCGCACCACGCGCATGCCCACCTGGACGCCCGCCTGGGGGTCTGGGTCCATGGCGGGTGGGGCTGCTCAGGACCTGCGGGTAGAGGGCACCCTCAAGCCACACCGGTTCTGGGAGAGCTGCCAGGGAGAGCTGGGCGGGAGAAGGTGATGCACAGGTGCGAGACCCAGGGAGGCCACTTGGGGGCAGCAGCAGGGAGGCCGGCCACCAGGCGGTGTGCACCTGTCCTGGAGGAAGGAAGGGCTGGACGCCTCTGGAAAGGCCCTGCAGCTGCTGTGGGCCCCTGCCCTGGATGAGCCGGAGAAGCAGGGTACAAGTCTGGTCCCTCAGTGGGTGCCCACAGCGGCCTGCAGGTGCCAGTATATGTGGCTCTAGAGGGTCAGCACACAGCGGCCCATCAACACATGTCTAAAAACTAACGATTTGGAATGCAGGTATCAACGTGAAAGGTAAGGCAGTAAAGCTCTCAGAACACACTGTGCACGACCTGACAGGCTGCACCGAAGCCAGGACCTGCTGCACATCAGGCCCTGAAGACACCGAGGGGCAGCAACCCAAGAACCTGTGTGCAGCATGCACACCTACAGAGGATGTGCGTCCAGGATGTGTGACACGTGCCTCCCAACCTTACCAACAAGCAGACAACTCCAGACCACAGTAAGCACTGCAACCGGCACCCCGACGACTAAGACACACTCAAGCCGGTCACCAGGCCCCTGCGCAGGAGCGACACTCACCCACACCCCACAGGCCGGCGGACAGTGCCACAAGGTCATGCTGGCCCCACTGCTAGGCCTTCGGAGACAGCCCCCTCCCCTCAAGGGTGAACTGGGTCATGAAATGTAGCTTCCCAAAGTGAGCAGGAGCCCGCCACACCACACACAGCAGCAGTTGGGAGGCGAAGCTCACCAACGCATGCCCACTGATTCCACTCATGGGAAGTGCACCAGCCGGACAAGCCAATCCAGGGCACTGCAGCTGGTTGGGAGACAGTGGAGAGGGCTCGGGACCCGGGAATGTGCCGTCCCCTGATCTGGGTGCTGGCTACCCACGTCCACTTGCAAACCTGCATCACTTAGAACCTGTGATCTGTGTTACATGATTCTTCAAAAAGTGTTTTAACAACATGAATGATGAATGGATTTGACAGCCAGGAGGGAAAATCAACAGGACTTGAAGAGGACAGGGCCCAGGGCTCCGAGGTCGTGAGCACACAGTCCCCACTCCACTTCTAGAGACCGTGCCCATGGCAGAGTCTCACGCGCCCTTCTGTGTCCAGGCTGGGAGAGCAGGCTGGGCACAGCCTGAGGCAGGCCTGGGAGTGACCCAGCAGTCTCGCTGCAGAGCTCCTGGCAGCAAAGGGAGGCCAAGTCCGGCTGGGGCACAGCTGGGGAGTGAGCCAGACGCTACCAGCAACTGCTAGGGCTCAGGCCCTGCTCAGCCACAGGACAGAGGCTAGCCCAGGGCTTGGAAGCAACAGGGGGGAAGCCTCGTCACCCTTCTGCCTGGGCCCTGCCCCGCCACGCACCGACCTCAGCACCCCAGGCCTGGCCAGCGCGGGGAAACTCCCCCACCCAGCTGAGGCCACAGGTGGGTGAGAAGGGGCAGCTTTGCCAGCAGCAGGGCCCGGACCCACCAGCTGTCTGACGGTCCACCCCCAACTCAGCGCCACTCTGAGGTCTGTATCCAGCACAGGATGGGGGGCGGGGGTGGGGGCTGCCTATAGGGCTGGGATACCCACCCCTGCACAGCCAAGTGTCTGAGCAAACAACCCCTCAGGTTCTCAGAGGCATGACCAGCTTGGTCTCCTATAAATTCTTCCCCCTCCCGGGGCAGGCTCCCTGCTTGGGCTCCTTCCTCACCCCGCCAGGACCACCAGCACTCCCACAGCAATGGGGGAGTCTTGAAAGAAAAACCTTCCCGACCCAGGGACTAAGCAGGACCTTTCCTTAGAAGAGCTCTCCGTGCCCAGGGCCTCCCTCTCCTGCCGTCTCGGCCCCCGCCCCGCTGCGCTCCGCACCCAGATGGGGCCCTGAGCCTCCGTCCTTCCAACCAGCACAGCCACACATACACCTGCCAGAAAGAGGCCCCCATGACTGATGGGTGAGGCAGGCTCTTAACAAGGGAGGGGTCCCTGGGAGCCACCTCGCTGGCCAGGCATGGCGGGCCGTCCCCGTGAGGCCTTGGGCCACCCGGTACCTCCCCATCAGCTGCAGCCATGCGCGCCTGACTCAGGCACAGCACCACAGCCTGAGCTCGTGGCCTACTGCCCCCGCCCCCCAGCCCCACCAGGTCCCAGTGGGCCCTCCTTCCTGCTGGGAGCCCACCTAAATGGTCACTGTCCCTCACTCTCCCCAGACACTCCTGCTAAGCCAAAGTCAGCCATAGCGGTCCAGGCAACCGCAGACCCAAATGAGTGCGAGCAGAGGGACTCAACTAGAGGCCCCTGCTGGAGGGGGCCACCCCATCTGGGCAGCCCAGAAACTGGCCCCACAATCCAAGAAAGGGCTGAGGCAGGAAAGGACCGCAGTGCCACAAGCCCGAGCTGTGGTCACTCTGCGGCCAGGGTGGCATGCCATCTCTGAGCCCAGCCTCTCAGCCTCCTGGGCAGCTGCCACACCTGCCTGTCTGCTGGCCTACAGATCCACTGGCCATATGCTGTGGGACTGTCTCAACAAGACATGGGGGTCACCCAGCCTGTGACAAGGGCACCTCTGACCAATGTTTGTTGCTCTCGCATACAGTATTTTTAGCACAGCCAGGCAGTTCTCATCCAGCTCTGGCCAGCAAACTGCCACCCTCCCCAGGGCTGTCCTGAAGGGAGCCTGCCAGACCATACAGGAAACGCTGAGCCTGGGCCCTCTCCCTGCAGACCAGCACCCTTGGGAGGATGGGCAGAGTAGGGGCGTCCTTCCCCTCTGGCTCCCCGTGCCATGGTCTCGGGGCTGCCTAAAAGCATCTCCGCTCCACGTGCCCCCTGCCACCCTCAGGCACATCCACCTCAGAGACACCTCAGCTCAGCATTCCAGGACCCCCGTGAGATGGGAAACAGACTCTCAGGCCTGTCCACTTCCTCCCACATATCTCCCGGCCTTTGTCATTGTCGTCCCCACAGCCCAGCACGTGGGTGATTGCATTCCATGTGACATCAGATCCCTAGCCCTCCTGAGGCCAGGGCTCAGCACCTCACCTCAGAAGGTCCCACCAGGTAGCACCCAGAGGGAAACGGACCGGGGTTGGAGCAGGGAGGCGGCGACAAAATCCACGGGACTAGGGAGTATGGGGCCCCTGTTTCCGTGGGAAATCCTCCCAGAAAGTTCTTTTTCTTCCTTTTCCAGAAACACTGTGCCCTGCCATCTCCCTCAGTTTACAGGCCATGCCCCTGGCTGGCACCCAGATCCCTTTGAGACTGTCACTATGAATGTTTAAAATGAGCCCGAGGTGGTCAGTGTGCAAGGTGCGGGCACAGATGTGCTTCAGCGAAGCAGGACTTACCTGGGAACACAAGGGCTTCGTGTCAGCATCCCAGACACTTAGCTGCTATTTCCAGGGTCACGAGTTTGCTCAGCCAGCAAGACTTCCTGTTGGGAACTAGCAGCCATGGCTGACACAGAGCACAGCAGACCAAACAGGTGCCAGCCAGCAAGGAAGTCTGGGGAAAGATGGTTTTTAGAAGGCAGTTTTACACCTGAGGCAGTTACCATCTCAACCAAACCAGTGGACACCGGGTCTGTTCTGCGGGCTACTGGCTTCTCCTTTCACAGGAAGCTGCCAGCTCCTTAGGCCAGAACTATTTCCAAACCACATGTTGGGACACTGTGGAAAGCAACGTGTTTCCCTTATTTGTATATTTTATTGGAAAAATGTTAAAAATCTGTAAAGATAAATCACATTTAGCTAAGAAGTTGGCAAACTGCCTTTATTCGGAAGAATAAAGTTGCATGAAACCAAGAACCGCCCACCGCGCAAAGCTGCTCTTTTCCTTCAGCCTCTGGCTGTGCCCGATGACGCTGTTTGAATCGACACCACGTGTGGCTCAATCAAATGGCAAAACCTGGTGAATCACAGGCTCCTGTCATGTGGCAGCTCGGGCTAAGACAGAGGTGCATATCATGGGAGTCCGCGGGGTCTGGCCCATTAGGAACGGGGAGCGGGGAGGCCGGGAAACCGGCCTTGCCTGGCCGGAAGACAGCTGCTGGGGGAGGCTCAAGGGGGGGACAGGGCTGTGATCACCACAGTCTCAGCCACCCAGATGGATGCCCTTGGGCACCATGCAGACTGGGTGTCAGGCCCCTACCAGTGCACAGGGGTAATTTCAGGCAGGAGCATGACATTCAACTACTTGCTGCATCTGGAGCAACGAGCAAAATGTAACATCAAGAGCAGGGGACCTGCCAGGAGGACCAGGTTTGCCAGGGCTTCCCTTTTAGGCTGGCTTATCCTCAGCCACCGGTGCCCACCAGGTCCCTTTGCTCATTTCCTCAATTGGTTCTGAACTCAGGAAAGAGAGGCAGGATTATTTATCAGCACCCCCCCACCACCACAACACACACACACGCTCAAAAACCAGCTGAGCCCTCCGACATGGCACCAGACAGAACCCACCGCGAGAAGCGCCGAATCCAAAGTGTCAGCCGGCCACAAGCCCGTCAAGAGCTCACCTGTCTGGCTATCCAGTCGGTCGCCCACCCGCTGCCTTGGCACTGTTGACTGCAGCCTTAATGCTGCAGGTTCGGAGACTGGCCGCCGGCCTTGCTGAGCTTCAGCGCAAGCCCTGTGGCGGCGGGGAGATGCCGAGGCGCACGGTGAGCACCTCCGACACGGCCGCGGCGGCTGGAGCCAGCCCGTTCGCTCCTGGCGCTGCCCGCCGACTGCGCGCCCCGCTCCCCGGCCCGCCAGCTACGCCAGAGCTGCCCCAGGGGCCTGCCTTCGGCGCTGAAGGGCTCTCTGTCCGGCGCCGCGTTCCTGCTGCGGCCACCGTCGGAGGCGCGCAGGGCCCGCAAGCGCCCGGCCACCGCCTGCCGCCCGGCGTGGAGCAGGGGCACCGCGGCCCGGCTCTGCACTGCAGGCCGGGCTGGGCAGCGCGGGGCCGGCGTCCCCCGGAGCCTGACCCCGCCCCACGCTCGGGTGCGCCCGCCCGCCCCCCCACCCCCGACTCGAAGAGCCGCCCGGGCCGGCTGCCACCGGACCCTTCCCCGGCCTCGGCGCCCCGCCGCCCCTCCACTTGCCCGGAAGTGTGCGTCCCTCCCGCCCGCGGCGGGGTTCAGGCCGAGAAGCCCAGAGTTTGTCCGCCAGCCGGCCGGGCGGCCTCTGCTGAGCGCCACCGGCTAGCGGTTCGGCCCCGGCCAGCAGCTGCCCGGCACGCCAGCCCCGCCGGCCGAGACCCCGGCGCTCCGGCGGCCGCGGGGCCCGGCGGGAGTTGTAGTCTGCCGCCCGGCGGGGCGGGGGCTGGGACGCGCGCCCGAACCACAGCTCCCAGGAGGCCTCGCGGCCGCGCTGACAGGACGGGCGCAGGGGGCGGCGCGGGCGTGAGGGAGTCGGCGCCGCACAACGAGGGAGAACCTTGCAGTGCTTCTTCCCGGGAGGGGAGCGGGCTCGGCTCCGCGCTGCCACGGACGGAGGGCGCGTTCGCGTCGGACACCGTGTGGTGCGCCTCGAGGGCGGCGGAGGCCGGAGATGCGGGGCCGAGCAGCGAGTGTCTGGGCGCGGAGGGGTCGGGCCCCTCGCCCGGGAGGGCGCGAGGACACGCGCTGCCGTCGGGGCGGCGTACCGAGCACACCCGGGGGGCCCGCCAGCAGGCGAGAGCGTCAGCCTCGCCGCTGCCAGAAGTGCGTCACTGGCCGGGGCCGGCGCTTGTCGCCCTCCCCGGGCCCTACGTGGCGCAGCCGGGTTTGGGGACGCAGTCCGTTGCCATGGAGACGGAGGCCGCGGCCGGCGGGGGCGGGAAGAGGATGGGCGGGCTTCGGGCCCCAGTTGGGTCGGAGCTGGGGCGCGGCGTATCGGGGCACCACGCCCGGGCGTTCCCTGCCCCGAGGCCAGCAGAGACTGGGCCCCCGACGGCCGCGTGGACGCTCCGGGTGGGCCTGCTTTACTGCGCAAACCAGGCCTCCTTTCTCGCGCTATCTTTTCTTTGTTCCCTTGAGTCACTGCTCACCTGGTATTTTTCTTGAGTGTAGATTTTACTAACCCACAGCTGTTTGCCACAAATGTTCCTGTCAACATTTTCCAAAGGCTCGAACACATCTTGGAGCCCTCGCTCCCGGAGCCCCTTTCTTCCGTCCAGTCTGGACTGATTGCTCTCTAAACCCATTGCATACATTTGTTGTCTTGGGCTTTTCTCTGCGGTCATCCCAAGCGACTTTTTCCTTTCTCTTGTGTTCCTGCCGTCTCCCTGGAATGTGTGCCATCTCCCTTCTTGGTTCATCCTTTTTATTTTGCTAAACTCAGACCTCTAGGAGCTTCCTGAAGGATACGCGTCTGAAATGTGTTTATTCTACTCGCTGATAGCTTGGCAGGGTATAGAATTCTAAGTTGGAAATACATTTCCTTTAAAATGTTTGAAGTCATAGGTTTTTGTTTTTTTTTTTCTGCTTTCAGCTTCCAGGGCTGCTGTTGAAAAGCCCAAAGCTGTTCCGATTCCTGATCATTTGTGTGTTCTCTCTTTGTTCTCTCTGAAAGCTTTTAGGGTATTGCCTTTATGTTTGGTGTTCTCAAATGTTGCAGTGATGTACCTTGATGTGAGTCTTTCACTCACTGTACTACCCACACAGTGGTTTTCTGCATCCTAGATACAGGCTCAAATCCTTCAGTTTGGGAACTTTTAAGGAACAACCCCCTTCTGTTTCCTGTCTTTGCTTTGGCGCTATTCCTATCACTCTGATTGGACTGCCTCCACTAATCCCGTAATTTTCTTTTCTCAACTACCATTTGCCTCTTTTTCTGGTAGATATTCTTAAATTTACCTTCCAATTCTCCTGTTGACTAGGTAAACTCTGTGATATTGTGACCTACAATGAGAAATATACATTTAGTTTTCATCCCGTTTCAGCCACAGAGTTCCTAAAGCCCTTGAGTTTCCCAAGAGCCATGACGTGTATATTGATATTCATAACAAGCCTCTTTCAACCATACCTGAGTTTATGTTAATAAGGTAGTTTTGGGAAAGCCCCTGAGGATGGGGTTGGTTGCCAGGGAAACCAACCAGGTCATTAGAGGGTTAGAACCATCAGCTTCATCCCCCTGACCTGGGGAGGGGAGAGTGGCTGGAGATTGAGTTCAATCACCAGTAGCAAATGTTAATCAGCCATGCCTGAGTAATGATACCTCCATTTGAAAAAGGGCTTCTGGGTTGGTGGACATGCAGAGATTCAGGGAGTGTGGTGCACTCCAAGGAGGCACAGACTGTTCTCTTAACCTTGCTTTGTGCATCTCTTCCATTTGGCTATTTCTGAGTCATATCCTTTCATAATAAACTGGCAATCTAGTAACTGTTTTCCTGAGTTCTGTGAGCTACTCTAGCAAATTAATGTAACCCAAGGAGGGAGTTGTAGGAGCCTCCAATTCATAACTGGTCCATGAGAAGCACACGTGACAACACGAACTTGCGATTGGTGTCCGAAGTGTTGTGTGGGGATGGGTCAGTCTTGTAGAACTAAACCCTTATCCTGTGGGGTCTGATGCTGTCTCCAGGTAGATACTGCCAGAATTGAGTTAAATTAGATATTGTTTGTGAAGAAGTAGAAGCATCAAAAAGGTGCAAGAGGCGTTACAGGTGGTCACAGTGGTCTTCTGGAATCAAAGTTGGGCATTAGTCATCTTGCTGCTATGCTTCCAAGCTGTAGTCTGAACCGAAAAGCATTTGACAAAATTCAACATCCATTCATGATAAAAACTTTCAACAAAATGGGTATAGAGGGCAAGTACCTCAACATAATAAAGTCCATATGTGACAAACCCACAGCCAACATCATACTTAACAGTGAGAAGCTGAAAGCCTTTCCTTTAAGGTCGGGAACAAGACAAGGATGCCCACTCTCCCCACATTTATTCAACACAGTCGTGGAGGTCCTGGCCGCGGCAATCAGACAACACAAAGGAATAAAAGGCATTCAGGTTGGCAAGGAAGAAGTTAAACTGTCACTGTGTACAGATGACATGACATTGTACATAAAAACCCTAAAGAATCTACTTCCAAAGTACTAGATCTAATATCTGAATTCAGCAAAGTTGCAGGATACAAAATTAATGCGCAGAAATCTGTTGCATTCCTATACACTAATGATGAACTAGCAGAAAGAGAAATCAGGAAAACAACTCCATTCACAATTGCATAAAAAAAAAAACTACCTAGGAATAAGCTTAACCAAGGAGGTGAAAGACCTATACCATGAAAACTATAAGACACTCTTAAGAGAAATTAAAGAGGACACTAATAAATGGAAATTCATCCCATGCTCTTGGCTAGGAAGAATTGATACTGTCAAAATGGCCATCCTGCCCAAAGCAATCTACAGATTCAATGCAATCCCTATGAAAATACCAACTGTATTCTTCAATGAACTAGAGTAAATAGTCCTAAAATTCATATGGAACCGTAAAAGACCCCGAATAGCCAAAGCAATCCTGAGAAGGAAGAACAAAGCTGGGGGGGATTATGCTCCCCAACTTCAAGCTGTACTACAAGGCCACAGTAATCAAGACAATTTGGTACTGGCACAAGAACAAAACCATAGACCAATGGAACAGACTAGAGATCCCAGATATAAACCCAACCACATATGGTCAATTAATATATGATAAAGGAGCCATGGACATACAATGGGGAAATGACAGTCTCTTCAACAAATGGTGCTGGCAAAACTGGACAGCTACATGTAAGAGAATGAAACTGGATCACTGTCTAACCCCACACACAAAAGTAAACTCAAAATGGCTCAAAGATCTGAATGTAAGTCATAAAACCATAAAATTCTTAGAAGACAACATAGGCAACAATCTCCTGATTATAAACATGAGCAACTTCATCCTGAATGCATCTCCTTGGGAAACAAAAACAAAAATGAACCCATGGGACTACATCAAACTAAAAAGCTTCTGTACGCCAAAGGACACCATCAGCAGAACAAAAAGGCATCCTGCATTATGGGAGAATATATTTGTAAACGACATATCTGACAAGGGGTTAACATCCAAAATATATAAAGAACTCATACCTCTCAACATCCAAAAAGCAAATAACCCAATTAAAAAATGGGCAGAGGATATGAAGAGACAGTTCTCCAAAGAAGAAATTCAGATGGCCAACAGGCACATGAAAAGATGCTCCACATCGCTAATTATCAGGGAAATGCAAATTAAAACCACAATGAGATATCACCTCACACCGGTTAGGATGGCCAGCATCGAAAAGTCTAAGAACAAACGCTGGCAAGGATGCGGAGAATGGGGAACCCTCCTACACTGCTGGTGGGAACGTAAGCTAGTTCAACCATTGTGGAAAGCAATATGGAGGTTCCTCAAAAAACTAAAAATAGAAATACCATTTGACCTGGGAATTCCACTCCTAGGAATTTACCCAAAGAATACAAGTTCTCATATTCAAAATGACATACGCACTTCTATATTTATCACAGCAGTATTTACAATAGCCAAGATATGGAAGCAACCTAAGTGTCCATCAGTAGATGAATGGATGTAGAAGATGTGGTACATATACACAATGGAATATTATTCGGCCATAGGAAGTAAACAAATCCTACCATTTGCAACAACATG